GGAAATGAGACATTGTTGCTCTGGTAAAGATTTGCAGCTTCAGGAATCCACAGGGGAGGTTTATTTTGCCTTTGAGTTCCCTGTGAATTTGTCGACTCTATGGCAGTGATTTCGTTTGTTTGTTTGTGGTGTGAGCCTATTTCTGGTATGGTTTATTTTATGCCTAAGAATGAAAACTATTTTCTTACTTATGAAAATACTTTTTATTTTCTCTAGATTTTCTAGCGTGGAAAAAATAAAACTGAAAACCAATGAAGAACCAGTCAATGGAGCTAGAGTTCATTCTTCTTGGACTGTCTGATGATCCTCTACTGCAAATTGTGATTTTCCTTTTTCTTTTTCTCAATTACGTTTTGAGCCTGATAGGAAACTTCATCATAATCCTCCTTACCCTGCTTGATCCCCGCCTTAAGACTCCAATGTATTTCTTCCTCCGAAATTTCTCCTTTTTAGAAATTTCATTCACTACGGTCTGCATTCCAAGGTTCTTGACTACCATTCTGACTGGGGACAAAACAATTTCCTATAATAGTTGTGCAGCTCAATTATTCTTTTTCCTTTTATTAGGAGTTACAGAGTTTTACCTTCTGGCTGCCATGTCCTATGACCGCTATGTTGCCATCTGCAAACCCCTGCATTACCCCATCATCATGAACAATCGAGTGTGCTACCAGCTTGTCCTCAGCTCTTGGGCAACTGGCTTCCTAATCATCTTTCCCCCTTTGGTCTTGGGGCTCCAACTCGATTTCTGTGCTTCCAGAACTATTGATCACTTCCTGTGTGACTCTTCTCCGATCCTACAGATCTCTTGCACAGATACTCGACTAATAGAATTGATGGCCTTTGTTTTAGCTGTGGTGACACTTGTGATCACATTTTTGTTAGTAGTCCTCTCCTATGTACACATTATCAAAACCATTCTCAAATTCCCTTCTGCTCAACAACGCAGAAAGGCATTTTCCACATGTTCCTCACATATGGTTGTTGTCTCCATTACTTATGGGAGTTGCATCTTTATGTACATGAAGCCATCAGCAACAGAAAGGGTGACTTTAACGAAAGGTGTAGCTGTGCTCAATACTTCTGTTGCCCCATT